AACCCAAAGAGATTAAACAGAAATGTACATGATATCTCCTCGTTATTAAAATAACATATCTTTTAAGATCTGGCTACAGTTTAGAAATGTTTCTTTTACTTCACTGTTTGTTCTAATCACATGACATTTGTATCATATATCTATTGATTGTCTTTTTTAAATTGAGACTTTCCTTTTTCTTGGTCTGATGAGTAATTTTGGGACTGTATCCCCTGAATATTTTAAGTATTATATAATAAGATTCTAATTCCTATTTAAATCTTTTACGTTATCAGGTAGTCAATTTGTTTAGGATCAGAATGCATGTCCTAGATCACTTTCGTGGATTGTGCTTCAAATGTCAGTTTAACTTTAGAGCTACTGCAGGGTTATTTTGTTCCATTTTTGTGTTAACAGGAAGAGAGGACTCCACCCAATAGTCCCCACAGCACTAGCTGCGGGGGGGGGGAAGCTGTGTTTCCTTGTTATTACAGGGTAGAGGTTACTCAGAGTCCTGCCGATAGGCACCATAGGGAAGGAGTACTGCCTCACTGCTTCATTGCTTCCTTATTATAGGATGGGGTTGACTTTGGAATTCCATCCACAGGCTCCGCAGAGGAAGGGTCCCACATTGTTATTGTAAGGCAGAGGTATGTCTGCAATAGCCAAACTGTGGAAGGAGCCGAGATGCCCTTCAACAGATGAATGGATAAAGAAGATGTGGTCCGTATATACAATGGAATATTACTCAGGCATCAGAAAGGATGAATACCCAACATTTGCATCAACATGGATGGAACTGGAGGAGATTATGCTAAGTGAAAAAAGTCAAACAGAGAAAGACTATTATCACATGGTTTCACTTATTTGTGGAACATAAGGAATAACATGGAGGATATTAGCAGAAGGAAGGGAAGAATGAAGGGGGGAAATCGGAGGGAGAGACGACCATGAGAGACTATGGACTCTGAGAAACAAACTGAGGGTTCTAGAGGGGATGGGGGTGGGGGGATGGGTTAGCCCGGTGATGGGTATTAAGGAGGGCACATACTGCATGGAGCACTGGGTGTTATACGAAAACAATGAATCATGGAACACTATGTCAAAAACCAATGATGTACTGTATGCTGACTAACATAACATAATAAAATAAAATAAAATAAAAATAAAATCCAAAAAAAGAAATCATATGTGCATAGCAAAGGAAATCAAAATGAAAAACAAAATGAAAATGCAACCTACAGAGTGGGAGAAAATATTTGCAAATCATGTATCTGTTAAGGGGGTAATATCCAAAATGTACAAAAACCCATACAACTCAATAGCAAAAAAAACTAGCAATCCAATTAAAAATGGGCAGAAGATCTGAATAGACTTTTCCCCAAAGAAGGTATACAGATAGCCAGCAGGTACATGAAAAGATGCCTCACCTTACACCTGTCAGAATGGCTAAAATAAAAAAGATAATAAGTGTTCATGAGGATGTGGAGAAAAAGGAATTCTTGTGCACTGTTGGTGAGAATATAAATGTCCATTGCTGCAGCCACTGTGGAAAACAGTATGGAGGTTCCTCAAAAAATTAAAAATAGAAATACTGTATGATGCAATAATTCCACTACTCGATATTTATCCAAAGAAAATGGAAACAGTAATCCAAAAAGATCCATGCACCCCTATGTTTATTGCAGCATTATTTACAATAGCCAAGATATAGAAGCAATCTGTCTATCAGAGGATGAAAGGACAAAGAAGTTGTGGTATTTATATACAATGGAATATTATTTGACCATAAAAAGAAGGAAATGTCTCCATTTGCAACAACATGGATGGACCTTGAGGGCATTATGCTAAGTGAAGTAAGTCAGACAAAGAAAGACAAATACTGTATGATATGCTTGTTTGTGGAATCTAAAAGAAGCTGAACTCATAGAAACAGAGTATAATGGTGTTTGCAGGGTCTGAGGGGGTGAGCAAAATGGGGACATGGTGGTCAAAGGGTACAAACTTCCAGTTATAAGATGAATTAATTCTGGGAATCGAATGAATAGCATGGTAAATAGTTAACGATGCAGTATTAAATACTTGAAAGTTCATAAGAGGATAAATCTTAAATAACCCTACCACAGAAAAGAAATGGTAATTATGTGAGGTGATAATGGTGTTAAAAAATGCTACTGTGGTAACCATTTCATAATATATAAGTGTATCAAATCAGCAGTGTACATCTAAACTTATACAATATTATATATCATTTGCATCTCAATAAAGCTGAACAAAAAAAGAAACCAACACTCATTACAAACAAAACAAAACAAAACATAAACCAACCCAAAATTCATCAATGGCAGAATGGATAAAAAATGTAGTGTGTTGAAATGATGAAATGTCATACAGGAACAAAAATGAATAAACTATAGGTACATTATAACACAAATCTTATATAAAGTAGATTCCCCAAAAAGGAATATGCACAATGTATATAAAACATGATTCCATTTATATAAAGCAGAAAATAAACACAAACCCAAAACCTACTAAACAGCATTGTTTAGGAATCAGGAGGCAAAATAAAAATAAAAGCAGAGCAATTATTACTGTAAAATTCAGAATAATGGTTACCTTTAGAGGGAACAAAGGGATTATATCCATCAAGTACTTCTCAGGTAGAGGGAGAAATTATGTCCATGCAGGTGGCACATATGGGGACCTTCTGTACTATTGTTAGTGTTTTACTTCTTGATAGTGGTCATATGGCTAATTATTATTCATTAAACTGTATACTCAACTTTTATGCTTTTTTCTTCATGATATAATTCACAGTTAAAATGTTCAAGAAAAAAACCTCAAAATAAAACCCTGACCTTTTTAATACCTTTTAACTAAATTGTACCAATGAGTTATTTTGTACCCCACCCCTGAGCTATACCCAACTGTTGGTCCTCTTTTCCCTGGTGTGGGTGTTGGGCATAGGGTAAGGCTCATAGAGGAAGTTAATGAGAGGCAGGGATGGGCTGAGGTTCAAAGAGGTAATAAAATACAGGAATGAGTTAAAGATAAGGGAATATTTAGAGTTCAAAGTCAGAGGTGGTTCAGGAAGAGAATGAAGAGTAAAGGGTGGGATTATGATTTGAATGCCCGTCAGTCACATTACATGTTGGCTGATAAAAACGCAAACAGAGAATTTATATTTATTTTACCAGAGCTGTTTTGTTGATGATTTATCAAAACTGTAGCATTAAAATAATGCCCTCAAACTACTTATATGAAAAAAATCCTGATTTGGTCAAGGCAAGCCTCTTAGAGGGCAGTTACCTGACTTGAGACGGAAAATATGAGAAGATGAACATAGGGAATGAGCAGTTACCATAGATGGAACAGCATAAGCAGAGACTCAGAGCCATGGAACAGCAGGTGTGTGCAAGGAAACAGCAGAGTGCTGTTGCTGGAGGTAGGACACGTGGAGAGCTGAGGCCAGAGAAGGGTGGCAGAGACAGAATATTCCAAGGCTTTGTGTGCCATGTTAAGAGTCAAGAGTCTGCTGTTGGTAACCAAGAGCCATAGAAAAGTTTTATAAGAATGACATGGTAGTGAATAAACATGAAATTTTAAAAAAGTGAAGTATTAGGTATGCATGGACAAAATAATGTTAAAATGCACATATTTTCACTTAGAAAGATTAGAAATTAACAGTAATGCTTGAAGTTTTTAATTACAATTGATTAATTTTATTCCCTCTAAAGCCACTTGCCAAATAAAACAATTAATTGATAGGTTGTCATTCTGCTTTATTAGTCCATCTCTTGTGAATTTCATTACCAAGAGGCATGTAACATGCTATTCAAAAATCAGATCCTGACTCATTAGTCATATGAGATTAAAACTGCTCATTTTATATTTCTCTTCAATACACTTTAATTGTAACAGAGGACAGAACTTAAATCTTGAAAGAGGTAAATTTGTAACAAATAAGAGAAAGGACTTACAAATATTCCTTGAATTATAATGGGATATGTCAAAAATGCATTCAAAGCGCCTAACTTACCAAACATCATAGCTTAGACTTGCCTACCTTAAATGTGCTCAAAACACTTACATTAGCCTACAATTAGGCAAAATCATCTAACACAAGATCTGTTTTATGATAAAGTGTTAAATATCTCCTGTGAATCATTGAATACTGTACTGAAAGTTAAAACAATGGTTGTATGGGTTCAGAAGAGTTTATAAGTGTACGGATTTACTCTTGTGATCACTGCTGCCACCTAGCGTCATGCGATGGTATCACACCACATATTGCTAGTACGCTAGTCTAGGGGAAAAAAAGACCCAAGTTCAGAGTACAATTTCTATAGAATGCAGATCACTTTTGCACTATGGTAAAGTTGAAAAACCGTCAGTCAAGCCACCATAAATTGAAAGCCATCTGTATTGGGGCGCCTGGGTGGCTCAGTCGTTGAGCGTCTGCCTTCGGCTCAGGTCACGATCCCAGAGTCATGAGATCGAGCCCCACCTCGGTCGGGCTCCCTGCTCTGCAGGAGGCCTGCTTCTCCCTCTGCCACTCCGCCTGCCTGTGTTCCCTCACTCGCTGTGTCTCTTTCTGTCAAATAAATAAATAAAATAAAATAAAAAAGAAAAGAAAACCATCTGTATTTATCTGGGGCACTGCACCTTTAGGAAATTCACTAGTCTCCAAGTGGTAAAGGATTCAGTAAGGGACTGGACAGATTTTTGAAGCATGGTTTTACGATAGATGCACAAAGAATATCTTTAAAGCGCTTTGAAGGTTAGCATCTTCATGAATAATGCAGTTCATAGAAATTACAGACAATGCTCAGTAGAATTCAAGAGAAAGATTTATAATTGTGGCGATTGAGCAGTAGCTCAAAATCACTACAATGGCTAAAGATAATGGACAATTAAGGTGTATTTAGTTAGTTCTGGAATACTTAAAATATATTATTCAGAGCCCTTAAAAAGGAAACAGCATATTATTTTGTGATAATAGTAATGTTTCCACCTACTAGTGAAGGTTCATTTGCATTCCACAGCAACTCATTGGGGTCTGCATTTTCTGGATCATATATCCATATAACAACAACCTACAAAATAAAAAGTATTTGCATTTCTTTACATTTTGGACAAATTTCATTTTTAGTTGTGGCAAAACACAACCATAAAATTTTTTTATTTATTTAAAAAATTTTGATTATCCCATTAAAAATATCAAAAGTGTTGTGTGTTTTTAACAAGTGAAATAGACCAAAGACCTATGAAGGAAGAGTTAAGATCCATCTACACTCCTGCGGTAACTAATTTTAAAACTCTGTATGTCTCTTTCTCTACAATCATAATTAGACACAGCGACCCCTCACCCCTGCAGTTTTTACAAAAATGAAATCACATAATACATGTTATTCCTAACTCGCCTTTGTTACTTAGACGCCACGGCCATTTCAATAGATGCAGATCTAATTTTTTTTCTTTCTTGTTAATTTTTTTCTTGAATAGACAATTTCTTCACATAGTTAAAAAATTATATTAAAAATAAAGTGAAAATTGTCTCTCCCACTCTGTACTCCATCTGCACCCCACAAGTATCTACTACTAGTAAGTTTTCTTTATATTTCTGTAAAATTTTTGTACATAGCTAAGATGTTATTTTTTCTTTTTATATAAATGTAAGTATGCTAAATACACTTTTCAAACATTATATTCTTCACTTAAAGTTATATTTTAGAGATATTTACATATTCTCATTAACTTTTCTACTGCTTATTATTCCAAATTATGGAGGAATCATAAGTAACTAGTAACTTACTAATAAACATTCATTCTCAATCCTTTGCCATTATGATCAATGCTATAGTTATTTTGTACCTTGGACTATACCTAAAAGTGTAACTGTTGAGGCATAAAGTATATGCATTTATAATTTTCATAGATACTGCTAAGTTGTTCTCATAGCAGCTCCACCAATATACTGTCACGCCAGCAGTGTATGAGATTTCTTCTTTCCTCAGTCTTCCCAACATAGTGTATTGTCACATTTATAATTTGCCAGTCTGATGGGTAAAAAATGGTACTTTGATGCAGTTTTAACCTGACTCTCTTTTATTATAAAAAAGTTTGAGCATCTTTCCATATGTTCAAGTTCCACTTGTATTTCCTGTCTTGTGAACTATTTGTTCATTTCCTTTACCTATTTTCCATTTTTCTATTGGGTTGTTAGTCTTTTATTTATTAATTTGGGGAAGTCCTTTAAGAACTTCTACATCTATATGTTTTGTATCTTGATCTGTGTTTTGGTTAGGTGGTTTTACACACACACATTTACACATATATGAAGATTTTATTCCTTTTATAATTATATGACATTCCTGCTTATCCTATTTCACCTGTTTGCCTTAATTGTATATTGTCCCTATATATTTCTGCCCTCCCTCCCTTCTTTCCTTTCTTCCTTCCATGCTTTTTATAGCAGGGTTTTATTTCACCTTTATATTCCCTTCACCTATTAAGCCTCTCTCAATCTATGCAACTTGATTTAAACAACTAGTGTGTATCCTTCCTTATTTTTCTCCACACTATATGTTTGCAGACATGTACACAAATACATATTTACATTTATTTATTTTTTAAAAAGGCATTTTAAGGGTTTTAAAAACAAAATTGGGTCATATTATACACACTTCCCATATTCTCTTTTTCTCATGCAAGTATATACATCATTGAAATTCTGCAGTGTCAACTCTTATAAGGCCTGAATTACATTCTACAGGCGTAATTCAATAGTTCCATACATCACCCAGTGTCCCTCATTCAACAAAATTTGAGAGTGGCTCTTGCTACAGGATCTGTGTCTTTCTTGTTAAATTTATTCGTATTTTATAGTCTTTATTGCTATTATAAACTTGTAATATTGTACTTTTTTGTGTCTTATTACTTACACTATTATGTTCAAGACAATGTTAAATAATAATGATACTGAGCACATCTGTCCAGTTCCTGATTTTAGTTGAATCAGAAGTATTTTATAATTTGTAATAATTATTTATAGTTTTTTGAAAAGTCAATGTTTTTTATTAAAACCAAGTGGTTCCCTTCTAAACTTATTTTGCTTGGTGTTTTCATTAGGAATGTCTATTCAATTTTTAAATTTACTATGTGATCATTTATTTTCATCTTTATTGTGTTGATGGAATGGATATTGTCGTCAGCTTTCTTGGTATTGAACCAATGTTGCATTCTGGTAGATACTGGTCCTTTTCAATGTATTCTTTTAATATATTGCTGGATTCCATTTGCTAATATTTGTGTAGAATTTTTGCACCTATATATACAAGGATATTTGTCTACACTTTCTTCCCTCCCTCCCTCCCTAACTTTCTGTTTGCCTGCTTTTGGTTTTAAAGTAGTGTTGGATTCAGAAAATGAGTTGAGGGAAATTCCTATCTTCTTTATGATCAGGTGAGACTACATTGTTAAGCACAGATGATATTATTACCCTCTTCGTAGATTTTTTTATTATCATGAAATAATTTCCCTCTTCATGTCTTTGAAAGTTTTTGGGCTTCACGTATCTTTTGACATTCATATCATCACTCCAGTTTCCTTTTTTAGAAAACATTTTATTTATTTATTTGATACAGAGAGAGAGAGAGCACAAGCAGGGGGATAAGCAGGCAGAGCAAGAGGGAGAAGCAGGCACACCCTGAGCAGAGAGCCCGACATGGAACTCGATCCTGAGATCATGACTGGAAACGAAGGCAGACGCCCAACCAATTGAGCCACCGGGGGCTGCTCCCCAGTTTCCTTTTGATAGTATTAGCCTGTTTGCATCATTTTCTTTCCAAATTTTTGTTATTCTTTGTTTTAACTATGTAACTTTTATTAAAATCAGATTTCTGGAGTTTCTGTCATTTAATGGGTGAATTTAATCCAATCACAATATTGATTACTAATTTAATTTAAATGATTTTGAAAACCTTATTTTTGTGTCCCTATATTCTATGCTTAATTTTTCCTTATTTTGTGTTTCATTACCTTCTACTAAACTGTTAGCATTTTAAAATTTCTTCTTCCAGAACTCTACTTTTTAGAAATTTTAGAAATTACATATTTATTTCTATTACTTTAATGGATAGTCTTACATTTTACATGCATATTTAATGTAGGCTAAAGTTAATCCAGTATCCCTATCCTGAATGCTTATAAGGACCTCAAACAATTTCAAACCCAAATCCCCCTTCATTTTCCACTCTTTATGGCTAGCTTTTTAATTTTATTTTGTTTTTTAAAAAAAATTTTTGAAAAGTTTTGTCAATGCTTATTTAAATTTATTAGCATATTATATAGTTCATTTGTTCACTATTACTCAGATACACATATCTGAGTATTCATGTCTTCAATTGTGAAGAATTCTCCATAATCATCTCTTTCAGTATTATGTCCAATTCATTTTATTCCCTTTTTGGAACTCCTATTATACAATATGATATATGCAGTATGATAAACTGTTTCAGTCTATTCTCTATGTCTCTTAACTCTTTAGATATTTTCCATATCTTCATTTTTATGCACTGCATTCTGCATGATTCCTATTCCAAATCACTGATTCTGTAATTTTCTCAACTGTGTCTGGTCTTCTATTGAAACTGCTATTGAATTTTTATTTTTAGATCCTATTTTTTCATTTCAAGACATTTTACTGAGAGGTTTTTCAATTTCTGAATGCTATATAATTGTTTATTTCAATTCCTTCTGTTATCCCTTTGAATACTTTAAATATGGATTTAGTAGTCTTTCAGATGCTTCTCATTTCTAGCTTTCAATAGTATGAACTTTCTCCATTTTTATGTATCTATTCCAGACTGTTTTGCGTGTGTGTGTGTGTGTGTGTGTGTGTGTGTGTGTGTGTGTTTTATACCTTTTACTTTGAGGTTATTTTCAGAGGGTTTGTTTTCTATGAGAATCTTATACACTCTGGGTTATGGAAGTGAGTTTTGCAGTCAGATTTTCTCTGATTCTTTCCTTTCTCTTTTTCAGGGTTTGCTGATTTTCTTTAGTGATATGTTTGGATTTCTTTCTCTTTATTCTTTGTATATTTATTAGTGGTTTTTGATTGTGGTTTCCATCAGGTTTATATAAAACCTCTTCTTCATGTAACAGTCTATATTAAGTTCATGGTCATTAAAGTTTGAACCCATTCTTTACTCTCCTCCTCCCCCACATTTTCAATATATGTTGTTATATTTCACATACTTTTGTGAATTCCTTGACTTTTTTTTTTACAGAAATATTCATTTTTACTGCTTTTGTGATTCCTACCTTTATACTATCACTTTTGGTCTTTCCTTTCCACCCAAACTGTCCCCTTTAATATTTCTTGCAGGGCTGGTTTAGTGATCATGAACTTCTTTAGTTTTTGCTTGTCTGGGAAACTCTTTATCTCTTCTCCTTTTCTGAATGATAACCTTGCTGGATAGGGTATTCTCAACTGCAGATTTTTCCCATTCAGCACTTTGAGTGTATCGTATCACTTCCATCTGGCTTGGAACGTTTCTGTTGAAAAATCTCCTGCTAGCCTTATCGATTTTCCCTGGTAAGTTACTTTCTTCTTTTGTCTTGCTGGTTTAAAAATTTTTTCTTTATCACTATATTTTGCCAATTTAATTACAGTATGTCTTGGTGTGTGTCTGCTTTTGTTGATTTTGATGGGGGTTCTCTGTGTCTCCTGGATCTGGATATCTGTTTCTTTCCCCAGATTAGGAAAGTTTTCAGCTATTATTTCTTCAAATAAATTTTCTGACCCCTTTTCTCTCTCTTCCTTTCCTGGGATTTCTATAATATGAATGTTATTATGTTTTATGGAGTCACTGAGTTCCCTAATTCTATTCTTGTTTTGCATAATTCTTTTTTATCTCATGTTCAGTTTGATTACTTTACATCATTCTGCCTTCTGGGTTACGAATTCATTCCTCTCCTTCTTCCAACCTCTGTTCATTCCATGAAGCATGTTTCTCATTTTCTTTATTGTGCCCTTTATCTCTGCTATATTGTTCCTTACCTCTGTGTTAAGGGTCTCACTCATGTCTTCTACTCTTCTCAGGTCCAGTGAGTATCCTTATGATCAATGCTTTAAATTCTGTACCAAGGCAGATTACTTATATCTGTTTCACTTAGCTCTCTGGCTGTGGCCTTGTCCTGTTCTTTCATTTGAGATAAATTTCTCTGTCTTCTTGTTTTGTCTACATCTCTGTGCCTGTTTCTCTGTGTTAGGAACATTAGCTATGTCTCCTGTTCTTGAGGGTAATGGCCTTATGAAGAAGAGGTCCTGTAGTGCCCTGCCATATAATGTCCCCTGTTCCCCAGGACCTGATGCTTCTGGGAATGTCTCCAATGTGTGCTGCATGTACTCTGCTGTTTTGTCCTGGCTGCTTTATCCTTCAGGCCAGTTATCTGCAGAGTCTCTCTTTGCTCGTTGTAGGCAGTGTCTGGCCCCTGGCTTTAACATGGCATGTTTTAACTAGGTGTGCTTTGGTCTGTTTGTGATATGAGATCTGTTGCCTCTGCTGGCAGAACAGAGGCTCTGCAAAACTCCCACAGTGGGATGTGTGGTGTGAGCAAGGGTTTGGGTGGTCTTCTAGGGGAGGTGGCCTGCTGCACCTGGACTGGGCAAGTATGGTTCAAATGGGTGGTTCCCCTGGAGTGTGTATCAGGGGTTGGGTTTGGTATACACAAGTTAGTTAGTGAATGTCGGCACTGCACTGGTTCCTGCAGGGAGCCCTGTGCTTGTGCTGAGGGTCAGGGGAGGGAAATGGTTCTGGCCAATTCCTTTGTTCCCAGAGGTGTCTCTCCATGAATGCTGCCTCTCTGGGACTCACAAATGAGCGAGTAACCTTCCCAATGTGTGCTGCAGGTTCTCTTCCAATCACTGTTTCCATGCTGTATGTCTGCTAGTTGTTTGCCTGACTTCTCCCCAAGAGCAGTGCAGTACCCCCTGGGCTGTATCCCAGTCAAGCTCACTGACTTTCAAAACTCCAGGCTTTAAACCCCACTGGTTGCAACAACTCACAAAATTCAACCCCTCTCACTTTCCAAGCCAACTGGTATGGGGATTCATTTTTCCTGTGTGCTCCCCTGTGTGCTAGTCTATCTCTCTCTCACCTTCCCTCCCATCCACAGTGGCCATGATCTGTTCTCTCCCAAACTGCATCTCTGCACTTCCTACCTTCTTCAGTGCGGCTTCTTTTCTACCTGTAGTTCTGGAGTTTATTCTGCCAGTCTTCAGGTCAACTTCTGGTGCATTTAGAATAATTTGATAGTATCTAGTTGTATTCATGGAAAGAGGCAAGCCTAGGGTCCTCCTACTCCACTGCCATCTTCCATCCTTGGACCAGATTTTTTTTTAAATTTAAATTCAATTAGCCAATATATAGTACATAATTAGTTTCATATGTAGAGTTCAATAATTTATCAGTTGTGTATAACACTTAGTGCTCATCACATCACTTTCATCACACCCACATCACATCACCTCCTTAATACCTGTCAACCAATTACCCCATCCCCCCGTCTGCCTCCCTTCCAGCAACCCTCAGTTTGTTTCCTATAGTTAAGAGTCTCTGGACCAGATGTTAAAACCTTTTGATCTCAAGACCCCTTCATAGCCTTAAAAATTATTGAGAATCTCACAGAGCTTTTGTTTTATGTGGGTTAGATCTATCAATATTTACCATGTTACCATTAACAAACTGAGAAGATTTGAAGATATAATTTATTTGAAAAACTATAATAAACTGATAAATGTTAACATGATACATATTTTTATGAAAAATAACTATTTTCCAAAACAAAAAATTAGAAAAATTGTTTTACATTTTACATTTCAAAATGTCTTTAATATCTGCCTTAATAAGAGACAACTGAATTATCATCTGTGCTCTTACATTCAAGCTGTTTTGTATATATTATTTTGGTGGAAGCATATGGAGAAAATCTACCCTCACACAGGTATGTGGTTGGAAAAGGATCTCCTCATGGATCTCCTGAAAAGGTCTGTGGAGCTCTAGGGGTCCTCAAACCATATCTAAAATATCGCTGCACTCTTAAGTATATTTTGTTGAAAAATTATTTTGGAAAATTCTTCTGCGAAACATGAAAGATGAGAGGTAAATAAGATAGTAGTGATATAGGAAGGATATATAAAATTTTTTAAAAATGTTTTACCTGGGTTAAATTGTGAAAGAAATTTCTGTTGGGAAAAAGAGGAATCATATTTTAGTAAACAGCACACTAAATATTAGTTTGAATATTCCACTTTCAATATACATATTCTTAAGTCCTTCAATATTCTCCTTGTATTCTATTACAGATATATAAATAAATACTAAATGCTAAAAAAGCTACATATGTCTATAATTAAACATAACTATTGATTCTCACATGTCATCATGTGTCAAAGGGCTGAGAGGCTTGAATCTGCATGCTGCCTTAACAATACTACAAGTTCATATAGCCAAAGTTGCATGGGTATTAATCTTTAAAAATGTGACATGATCATTTTGCCTAAGAAAACCTGTAGTGTTTACATGCTGTAATTTATGTCAAATACAAGTTCATTAATTAGCAGTGCAAATCCTTTATTAATCAGCCTTTCAATGTAAATTTTCTGAAAGGGACAACATTCATTTGTATGTTAAGTTGCATGTTTTTTAGAAAGTGATTTTTTTTTCATTTAAAGATATCTATATTTTCTTTATCATATAATCTATAAAAGTCAATGCCTCAGGACTATGTTCTTTTATTGGCTGATTGCTGCACAGTGCCCAGTACATTATTATATATAAAACAAATGAAGATATTTCAGGAATCAGTAAATATGTATGCAGTGAATGTCTGAGACCCATATAAGGAACACACTATTTCATATGTTCAATCTGATTTTAGAAAAAAAATGAAAATAAGTACTATAAATCTTTTTTTAAGATTTTTTTTATTTGACAGAGAGAGAGAGAGAGCTCACAAGCTGGGGGAGTGGCAGGCAGAGGGAGAGGGAGAAGCAGGCTCTCCACAGAGCAGGGGGAGCCTGATGTGGGGCTCGATCCCAGGACCCTGGGATCATAACCTGAGCCAAAGACAGATGCTTAACCGACTGAGCCACCCAGGCACCCCAGTACTATAAATCTTGATAGGCAAATGTGCTAGGAGTTCACAAAGTACTAAGTTGATCAAAAAGATCCATAGCTCCAGGGCTGGTATGTCTGCCCTGTGTTATGCTACTTGTCAGAGGTGCAGGAAATAAGAACAGAAGTGAAAACTGAGTTACTTATCTGGAAAGGAATATCTAAAGGCAAAAGGAGAAATGTACTGATAATATGAGAAAGACTTTATTTAGTATTAATACTAAAAAGCTTATAAAAAGTAACCTTGTAGAGAGAGAGAATCAGCTGATGTTAAAGTAATAACCTTGATTCCCACGGATGATTAGCAACATTCTGTTGGATCTTTATCAGTTTGCTTGGCGTCCTTGAACTGGTACACAGACTGAAGTGTATAATAAGAGGGTCAAGGAAAGAAACCTGAATGGAGCTGACATTTAAGGTAAGGACATATCATAAAAAGCCAAAGAAAGAAACTGGGAAAGGATCATCATAGAAATAGAAGAAGCTGATGTCACCAAGATGATGCAGTAGGGGAAGCCAGCCTCTGTGCCCCCACAAAAATCAACAATTAGACAGCTATCTACAAACAAACAGTTCTGGAGTGCTCAAGAGTCAACTTAAGAAACTTCAACATAGTGGAACAAAAACCCGAGAACAACTGCACAAAAGAGGAAGGAAGAATGCTTCATTTTTTCCATATCCCCCCATCTACCGAGCTGGCCCTGCTCAGTGCCAAGAGGGAACTCACCAGTTAGAGAATTCCCTTCTCCAGAAAAGGGAACGCAGGGAGAGGGACCAGCTTCCCCAGTCTTTCTGGGTATTGCATGAAGGACCTGCTTTTGGTTTCACCCCACCCAGGGACCAGCAAACCTGAGATGTATAGAGATGACTAGGAACAAGGAAGAAGGGCAGGGGTTACCAGTATCAGCCACACAGTAGGAGCAACCAGGGTTCTCAGTGACCTGCTCTTTAGAGAGGACCTGGCAGCTTTCACCACAGAAGAAACGATTGATCAGTATAGTCACCAGGGACCTCTGCAGATTTCACTAGTTTTTACCACACAGGTTTTTGCATTTGTAGATGCCAGCTGCCTGTGTCCCTTCCCATTCCCTTCCCCTCACTGCTGCCAGAGAATGGGATCCACATAGGCAGCTATCCCCAGCCTTTGCAGCTGTGCAAGTGCAAGATGCAGCCCAGAACCCCACAGCTGACCTCCACCCCCTTGTGGGTGCTTGGGGCTAGCTTCTCCAAATGTGCACCTAGAGGCCCCCCAGCCCAACTTCCATTACTTGCTCTGCTACCATGAGCATGTCTGTGGCAAGACCCTGCAGCAATGGGAATACATCCCAATGGCCAAGGCTCTCAAAGCTGTTTGTGAGCCCAGATCTGGCCCTATCTACTATCACTGGCCTCCATTGCTGTTCCTGCATTTCTGGTGAGACATCACAGCCACAAGACATAGACAGTCAGGGCTCCTATAGCTGCTAGTGTGCCTGCATTCAGCCTGGCCCTTGCCCTCAATACTATGTGTGTGTCTGAAATGGACCCCTGGCCGTACACTGAAAACTTCAGCAGGCCCCCACAGCTGAGTATGTGTACACCACTGGCTTGGGCCACTATGACTTCCAACTCTGGTCCGTAGTCACTGGACCTGGAGGAGCTGCTTAGAACCTTAACAGCCCTTGCAGTGACTATGGACACTACACAGCACTTGCCAGATACCACACAGCTGTTGATGTTATGGACTCCAGTGGCCTGAGCTAATGAGACATCATGCCTCCCTGAACCCAAAGATGCCACATGCCACTGAAGTGGCTTACATCATGAGACCTGGGGTCATAGCACACTCTACCTCAAGGTGAAGGTTTTCCTTAGCAAAGTTAGTCTTCCAGCCCCTTTGGAAGAGGTGACTGCTTCTTCAAATATGTAGATACTTATGTGAGGCTAAAGGGAACATGAAGAATCAGGGAATCTTGACACCACCAAAGGAACACAGTATATTCCAGTAATGGATCTCCCAAAATGGAGATAAATACCCTAAAAAGGAATTCAAAACAATGGTTCTAAAGATGCCCAGAGAGCTACAAGAGAACAAAGATCAACAATTTAATGAAATCAGAAAAACAATAGAAGAAGTTCAAAGATAGAAAACATGAGAAGTTCAAAGATAGAAAACATTAAAAAAAAACAACAGAAATTTTGGAGCTAAGGAATACAATGACTACACTGAAGAATTTACAGGAGAGCTCCAATAGAAGCCTGGATCAAACAGAAGAAGGAATCAGTGAACTCAAAGGCAGATCATTTGCAATTACCCAGTTCAGAAAATAAAAAATAAAAAAATAAAAATGAATGACCAAAGCCTGTGAGACTTATGGGATACCACCAAGAGAAACAATCTATGCATCACTGGGGTCCTAGAAAGAGAAAAGGAGAAACTTAGAAACTTAAAGATAAAATGGCTGAGAACTTCCCAAACCTAGGGAAAGATTTGATATTTGATATTCATGTTTTCTTTTTACTTATTAGAATCCTTTTATTTCAGCTTAAAGAACTGTTTCAGCATTTCTTGTAAGGAAATTCTAGTGGTGATAAACCCCCTCAACTTTTATTTGTTTGGGAAAGTCTTCATCTTGCCTTCATTTCCAAAGGAAAGATTTACTGGTAAAGTGTTCTTGGTTGACAATTTTTTCTTTTAGCCCTTTGAATATGTCATCTCACACTTTCCTGACCTGTAAGGTTTCTGCTGAGAAATCAACTGTTCCCCTAAGGGGGATTCCTTTGTATGAGAGGATTTTTTTTTTCCCCCTGCTGCTTTAAAAATTCCCTTCTTAGTTTTGGTTTTAGACAGTTTTATTATAATGGTTGTGGAGAAGATCATTTTAGATTGAAATTTTGGGGTGACAGCTTTATGAACTTTTAAAATAAATTAACAATAAATTAAAAAAGACTGAAATCATATCATGCATTTTTCCTGAACACAATGGTATGTATGAAACTAGAAATGAATCACAAGAAAAGATCTGAAAAGGACACAAATACATGGAGGCTAAATAACATTCTACTAAACAATAAATAAATGGTTCAAGGAAGAAATCAAAGAGGAAATAAAAAAATACAAGGAGACTAATAAAAATGAAAATACAATGGTCCAAAATCTTTGAGATGCAGCAAAAGCTGTTCTAATAAATGCCTAATTCAAAAATAAGAGAGATCCCAAATAAACAAGCTAACCTTACACTTAAAGGAGCTAGAAAAAGAACAAAGCCCAAAGCCAGTAGAAGAAAGAAAAATAATAAAGATTAGAGCAGAATTAAATGAAATCAAGACCAAAAAAAACCCCACAATGGAATGGATCAATAAAACCAGGAGCTGGTTCTTTGAAAAGATCAACCAAATTGACAAACCTTTAGCTGGACTCATCAAAAAGAGAGACAGACAGACAGACAGACACACACACACACACACACACACACACACATAGAGAGAGAGAGAGAGAGATTGAGGGAGAGAGAGTAGGAGAGAGAGAGAAAGAGAACTGAAAATCAGAAACAAAAGAGGAGAAAGATCAACATCATAGAAATACAAACAATTATAAGAGAATATTATGAAAAATTATATGCCAACAAATTTCACAATCTAGAAGGAATGGATGAATTCCTAGAAACATAACCCTTCCAAAACTGAATCAAGAAAAAATAGACAATTTCAACAGACTGATTACTAGCAATGAAATTGAATTGGTAATCAGAAAACTCCCCTCCAAAAAACAAAAGTCCAGGAACAGATAGCTTCACAGGTAAATTCTACCAAACATTTAAAGAAGTAATACCTACTCTTCTCAAACTATCCCAAAAAATAGAAAAGGAAGGGAAGCTTCCAAATTCATTCTGTGAGGCCAGCATCGCCCTGATACCAAAACAGACAAAGTCACTATAAGAAAAAAAGAGAACTACAGGCCAATATCTCTGATCACAGATGTAAAAATTCTCAACAAAATATCAGCAAAACAAATCCAACAATGAATTTAAAAAATCATTCACCATGATCAAGTGGGATTTATTCTTGGGATGCAAAGGTGGTTCATTAT